AAGAAGAAGAAGAAGAAGAAGAAGAAGAAGAAGAAGAAGAAGAAGAAGAAGAAGAAGAAGAAGAAGAAGAAGAAGAAGAAGAAGAAGAAGAAGAAGAAGAAGAAGAAGAAGAAGAAGAAGAAGAAGAAGAAGGAGAAGAAGAAGAAGAATATAGTGTAAAGAGCATATATAGGTTTCTCTTGAACAGGGGAATGCCATGTTTAAGCTATTTATTATCATTTCAGTAAAGTAAAAACATTCTCAGTGGTATACACCTGTAAACATGCATAACGTTTTGAATTGATGATAACAAAATTATACCAAAAAAAAGATAAACCACGCAATTTTCTGCACAAGGAATTGTAAATATTGTCATTTTATTTCATTATTTGACACATCCTGAACACAAACATGCTCAAACGGATCATAATAATTATTTTTGTGTTTAAAGTGATAAAATCATGTGTTACATCGCAGTGGGACCAAGTGCTCGTTTAGTTTTGTGCATGTAGAGTTTTTGGTATAATCTTAAAGCCTGTTCACTTGTCTACCTTTAGATGGAAAAAATACTTATATGTCTTTAATAGAAGTCGAGATATTTGCAATTGAGGAAGCTGGGGCGGCCTAGTTTTCAGGGATAATGAATTTACCGAACTAATGGTGACATTCATAGCTTGATATTCCTTGAGAACTGAAAATTTTCAATTGTGTTCCTTCAATAAACGTTTTCAGTAAAAATCCACCTAGAAATGTGTTTCAACGTGGACATAAAAGATAGTGAGCAAAATAATTTTTTTTTAAATCAGTATAAATTGCAAAACTTCTGAAAAATGCTTGTAACTTCGATCTCATTTTTTGACAAGCGTTTGATTCCACCACGATGCCTCACATATACAAGGAAACCTAGCTAGAGATTCGTTCCTGAAACTGACAGGTTCTACGTTTCACTCAACGTGTGTAGTTTTTATTTAGAATTCTTGCTGATATGAATTCTTTATGTTGTTGTGTAACTCGTTTTCTTTTTACTTAAAATCAAAAACATATTTAACAAGAAGAAGCTTTCTGTAGCTGCAACCTCGACGGCAGGTTGATAATATTCTACTCTAGCTCAACATCTCGACGTGTACTCGCACTACACTGGACTACTAAGAAAATGACAGGGCAAACTATATGTATATAGAGCCCGTGGAAGCAATTCATACATTTTAAAAAATAGAAGACAACTGATAAAAGTAATAATAGTAGTAATAATAATAATAATAGATTGCTTTTATATAGCGCTCTATCCCATACTAGTATAAGCTCTGAGCTCTAATTCTCAAGACTTTACGAGACATAGTAGTTATGCAACGATTTATTGTTATAATAGTCTCAATAGTTCCTTTCCCGGGTATTTAAAAAGTTAAACATGAGTCTGTAAAACTGCAGTTAGGCGATTCGCCTTCGCCCACAGTTTACCTGAGTTTGATTCCCGAAGGGGGAGAAATTTTTATGTAGTTTTCTTTGTATCTTTCTGCTGGAACTCTGTATCCCTCTCAGCACGGGTTGACTTTGACAGACAATGTCGAAGCGTCCCTCCTAATGATTTAGATGTTTAAAATTTTTAAAGTATATTGAAAACAACAAGTTTATGATAATCTGAGTTCATTCCACAGTGTTTGATCTTTCAATTTTACAGCAGAAATTCTATACTTGATAATAAGCTGAAGGTACCGAGCATCGACAAACGAAATAGCCCCTGATCTGAAAAGTTTTCCACTCTTGAGGAAGAACGAAAGCTTTTTAAATCGAAATCTATTAATAGTCATGTATCTACCTCCAGTAACACTATACTGACTTCAAAAGCAGGGTTTTATGCAGGTTTTTGTACTAACAACCTAAATATATTTTATGTAATGTTTTAAGTAGGCAGCATATTGTACGCAACAATTATCCAAACAGCATAATATTATATTCACTATTTATACAACCTAGAAAGTGGAGACGAAAGCAGACACAATAACATTGTTAGAGAGCTGGAAAGGGGGTGAAAGGAGACAATTTTAGAGCAGAAAATGTTCTGTCGCTATCTGCATTCGAACACAGAACCTATTGAATGAGAGGCGAACACACTAACCTCTCGACAACGAGAGCCCCCTTTGGAATATTTATACAAATACTCAATGCTTATGTGAACAACCAGATAATACTGTTCTAGTTGCATATTAATACAAACAAGATACTGGATGCAATGCTAGAAAAAAAATAATAAAGTACGCAATGCATAATATAATAAGCAGCATCTTTGAACTCAATGCTGAACTGAATGCTGCGCCCAGAGACCTTGCCAGGATTATCGGTTTTCCCAAATGTGACACACAAGGATTGCCATAACTCTCGCCTGTACCCCGAATACCTAACGTCCTCCCGTACTCTGTTCTCAAAAGTAGAGGGTGAACCTCAAGGCTCACAGCGGAAGCATTTCTTGTGTGAGAGGGTTGAGTGGTCTTCTTGCCTCTGCAGTACTCATCTCTGGTTCAGCAGGAGAGGAAAACTGTGTGTTGTTTACTGCTTGGGTAGATATTTAGATCAGAAAGGAAAAGGGTTTTGTACGGGTCGTGTTTGTGTCGGTGACCGCAACCCAAGGATCTATTTATTACGCCGTTTTTCATCCTAGGTCTGAGCTTTTGCTTACCGAGAGGAGGAGGATCTTTGATTTAGTAAGTTTACTCTATACTTTGTTTGTTTTAGCTGTTTATGCTTAATGTGGTCGTGTTGTTATAAGCACCGTGTATTATTTAAAGAATATTCTTTTTAGTTGTTTTGGGGGGTTTTTTGGGTGTATTTCTGTTCTTGTTGTATTGGGGTTGTTGGGTTTTTTCTTCTGAAATTAACTTCCATCTGTGGTGTTGGTGTTCTTGTTATGTCATGATTGCAATAACTGTTGCCATTATTGAAGGCTCATAACACTGGGGTTTTTTCTTAGCGGGTTGTTGTTTCTGTTGTTTTTATCATCGTCATCGTCGTGGTTGTTGATGTTCTTGGGGTTATAGTTGTTGATGTTTTGTTATTGTTTTGTTGTTGTTGTTGTTGTTGTTGTTGTTGTTGTTGTTGTTGTGTGCTTGTACGTGTGTGGTCGACGGACCTTGGAGACTCCGTTAGGACTGTCAATAACCTCAGTAATACATATTGCTGTTGCTGTTGTTGCTATTGTTGTTGTTGTCGTCGTTGCTGTTCTACGTATCGTAGAAGAATGTGGTACTAACGGGTTTTTTTTGTCATAACGTAATATTTAGTCATATGATATTGTTGTTTCTAAAAATGTGGCTGAATACACTTAAACTGAAACTAACGTGTATACGATGGTTCAAGCGTATGATCCACTTTTTTGTAGGAATTCTTTATGTTATTTTAAGCGACCAGAGTTGCTAAGTTTAGCTTAGTTTTCCTTTTGCATCTAGATCTATGTTTCGCTTCCCTCGCCGTTCACCTGCTGCGTTCATCACTATAATGTTTAGTTTTTGGAAAACTGTTTTCTTTTTCCTACACGCAACGGTTTAGTCGGATTATTCTCCTCAAGCGTAATTAATAGGTTCTCTTAAAATACGTTGTTGTTGTTTTCTTGTCATTGGAGACAGGTACACACGCGCACACACACACACACACA